CGGTAACACGTGCCTCGAAATTTCTTGAATTCAATCCAAGGAAAGAGATCGGTGAATGGGTCCGTCGGATATTTTCCAATTCAAGTACGACATGGTTTTTGTTAGTCCCCCGACCCTGTACACCGGATTTCTCGAAATGGTCGACGGCGAAGGCCTAGCCTGGTCAGTTAGACACGCCCGGAATTTCGGCGAACCCGTGTGTAGATTCCAGTCGCGTCACTCGCGGGAGCAATGTGGATGAGTGGAAGAGACGCGTCTAGGGATCGGTGAACGATCGTGACTCGATGTAAAACGAATGAAAAAATCGACTCGTTCTGCATTCAATACGAGTTTTAGATGTGACATTCTCCTTTCGACCCCCCGCCTGCATTCTTGCCTGAAGAAACAATGCTGTGACTTCATTGATCACATTGCATTGGAAATTATTAATGTATTTAGCATTCGTGATTCAGTTCTACTTGAAAACATTCTCCAATATAATATTTAGAACAGTTGTTCAAACTATCGAAGAAGTATAATTCATAATTCAACGAGATACGGCTTTTGCATGTGTAGAATGCATTCATATCGGAAAAGGTTAACATCTGCTCGTAGAAGTTTAGCGATCTACTGATATTGAAGTAGCAGAGATAAAAAAGAGGATTTCTATATCCGAAAAGGTTGAGTCGCGTCATGATCGGAAGGTACTGCCGTTATGAAAACTGAGGCGAGTGAATTGAAAATTTCCTCCTCGTATATGACCGCGTTATTATTGGAACTGAAAGCTCCAGTTTCATTATTTCACAGAGCGATCCCTTCGTTCCCGGATACAGCGGAATCCGGTCGAACGGCTGCCGCGCGTGTACTCAAGCCGCACAGTTTTAAAACATTTTCTCGAGCGAGCGAGTTGGAAAAGTCAGAAAGATTTCCTATATCCATCGGAGAAAGTAGACAGGTGTATGCGATTCGTGTCTCTTTGTCGTATCTTTTCAGATAATCAGAGAGCTACCGATTAGATAGTATCGTCGGTGGTACGACTTCGAATCCGGAGCGTATCTTCTCGTAATCTCAACTGAAGAGAATTTTTCGAGAGGATAATACGTCGTCCTCAAGGTTATCGATCCTCGAGAACTCCGTTGGAGACATGACCGTACAGTGGAGAGAGGACTGTGCGTAAAACACACCGGCTACCCTTCGCTTCGTAGTGCGAAAGTTCGCGCGATCCTTCAGAATTCTCTTGCTTTCTTTCTCTCTCTCTCTCTATTCGTTTCAAGGTCGTCCTCACCTTCTACCTGAAGATATGCTTGCGCGACGAATGTGTAGAAGTAGAGGTGTGAATGTAAGTGTAGAAACATGTGAAACGTATGTTTTGCGACCTGAGATCCATGGATCTTTCGAGTGCGGGTGTACCGGAGTGATCCCGGTTCGTCGCTCCGAACCGCGGGGTCGGAACGGGATCCTCTCGGTGTGCTCGGCCGCTCAAGGTCGCCGGCGCGAGGACCACCACCCTCGCGATACGAAAACATCCGGCTGCAGCGAGAGGCGGCGGCGGCGGCGTAACCACGATGCGGCACGTACCGAGAGAAATGGGAGAAAGTAGGAGGCGAATAGTTCCGACAAACAGGAGGATGACTAGTATAAAGCGTAATAAATCAGCGTTACGAGGCTGGTGACAGAGTTCGAGGACGAGATAAGTATTTGCGAGACGTGGAAAGATTTCTGTATCCATGTGCGCGTGGTTCAGGCTGGTTTCACATCGAGATCAGAATGAAAAGTATCATAGAGTGCTGTCATGTTCTCCAATGTTTATCATTTACTTAATCTTGCAGTGAAATGAGGTGTGACTTTATTCTACGTCGAGATATCGCACATAAACTTTCGAAAACGCGTTTAGCCTTTATACTGCACGGAGAGTTTCGCTCTCTGAAAAGCAGCGATGATTGAAGAGGCTGCGGTGTCAGGCGAGGATAGAATTAAACGAATTCTGTGCTACTTTTCTAGTGTTTAGAATATGACACGCATGCACCCTCGTGTGAACGGTGTCAAAACGCGAAGGTGGCAGCGAGCATTACGAGCTGTACACGCAGTGTCGGAGGAAGTGAGGGAAGGAGTAACCCCTCCGAGAGGAGGACGAGGGTTTGACCATTTCGGGAGTGTCGGAGGTGGCGGCGCGCGGCTGATCGATGCAACAGCAGCGCCACTGCGAGCGAGGGTGTAGGGGTGGTTCGTTCGACGAGACTCCCTTCTACCGCGGCGACGACCACCTCCGCAACCCTTCGGATGCCCACCCCACGGACCGTTCCACGCGTACTAACCGAGCAGCGCGCGTTCGGCCCCGCCGTTGGGCTACCCTCTCCAAGCGGAATTTCAGATAGGGGTTTTGCTTCGACGCGACGCGATGCGCCGTCTCTTTTCCCTCGCGCGTTGCTCGTTTCTCATTCCTACGGTTTACGGTTCTCTGTCGCTCTCGCGCTCCCTCCTTCGCTGGCTTAGTTCTCGCCTGAAGACCGTCCGGTGTACAGGTGATCCGACCTCGCGCGCGTATTCACCCTCTTCGAGTTTGTCCGCCCGCTGGCCGGGATGACGTGCCGCCGCGTCGCCACGAGGAGAACGCGCTATACATCCTGCCGCCTAATAGTCGACGAGGTGCGCTCGGTTCCTCCTCTCCTGGTCTTCCGCACTTTCTCTGTTTGCATCTTCTCTCGAGCGTGATTGTATCCCCAGTTAGAACACCGAGCAAAACCACCCTTATCGGGCTTCCTCCTTGAATTCGTTTTTTGTGAGTGGTTTCTGTGTTTCCCGTATTTCGTTTTCTCGTCCTTGGAGTGTGCTTCGAGTGAGGCCCTTTGACTACTCTCGTCATTTGTGTGTGTCTTTACTCAAGTGCTCTTCATGTACGTTTTATACGTCCTGGATATGAATCGCAGAAAGTAGATCGAATCCTGTGTGCGTGAAGTGACTTGATATATCAAAGTCTCTGTGTCCTCGCTGCCCGGACGTTAGATTCCCTTTGACGTGTCTCGATCGGAGAGCCACGGCGATGAGATTAGTCCAGGATTATGCACGACGTAGTAATTCCTTGGAGATGAGTTTTCGATCACGTGGGTGGTTGGCGACCGTTGCGATCTGTCTCGATGCTCGCGCTGCTCTCCAAGGATCCGGAGAATCGTACAAGCTATGTCTCTTGCTACCAAGGTGATGTTTCAGTTATTCCAGAGTTTCCTTTTTTAACTTTAACGCTGCTTCAGAAAAAAAGTGTCTTGTGCCCCTCAGCGTTATTCTTGTTGCATCAGCTCTTATTCAGAATCGTCTTGCATGGTTCTTCGATCACGTGGTCAAGGTGGCGATCATCTGTCGCGACAATTTTAGACGTGATTATTATCCATGTCGCCAAGCCTCCTTTGATTCTGCTTTATTAATCTAGAGGCATTTCCTCTGATATGATTGATACGTTCCGCGAATTAATTTCGAGACAGGATGATTTATCGTTCGCGTACATGCTGCACGCGGGTAAGCGCTGGTATTAAACACCCAGGCAGTTCTCATTAAACGGTGCTCGCTAAATTAACTCGGGCTTGTCACATCCTTGCTTCAGCAGATTTTTTTCACTCGCTAAATTCATCCCATCCGAGTTGCTCTGAAATTTCGTGAAACTCGTTCTCCCGGTCATATTTTCGAATCCGCACTTTTCCTACATTGCTGGCATTAATAGAAGATTGACCAACGGTTCGTAAAGTGTTATAAAGTTTTTCGATTCGGTATTCATCGAATCACGGGCGAGAAAAAACAATGAGCGTTGTAAGGCAGCCGATGAAACGTGTGGAAAACCGGAATGCCAGCTACGCTTCGCACGTCAAAAGAACGGTACCATTGTGTTCCGTTTCTAAGCCTGACGGAAGCTCGATGATTCGTTCCCTAGCAAGGCCAGCGACGAGCCTGTTTTTAGACGAACGCGTGAATTAACTATCCTTGGTAACGCGAGACATCCACGCTTTTCTATTTCTTCACGTTCGACTCAGCCATCGACTCGATCCAATCCACCTGCAAACTCGTTCCATTGCTATTGGCGCGACGTGTCGATTCTTAATTATTCCTCTCTCTTGAATTTTGTTGTTTTTCTCAACAAAAAGGAAGGTAGAGAAATTTCGTTTTGCTACAGAATTAATCGACGCCAAGCTCTTCGTAGGCGATCGACTGGACCGCTCGTTCTCGATTTCTCATAGCAAATTATGGTATTTCCTGTGACGCACCGAAATTGGGGATAGATCCTTCATTAGATCATTGATGCACTAAGCCAAGTGATTGCAGATCCATCTGCATTAACACCGAACCGAAATGCCATAATCCTACGTCCGTTCGATCATGCTCTATCCATCACGTGTAATACAATGCATACGTAATCGTGACATTTTCCAAATCAACCATTATTTCAACGTTGACCTTTGCTCGAGTCGTAATTAATATTTAAAAGATCGCAAGCACGAACCGAAGGCACGAAATCATTGGCTTCCACGCGACAGTTTTAGAGGTGGCTTTTAAAAAATTGCTGCCGCGGTGTACAGGGGGTAGAGGTGGAGGGCTCCGAGCTGTTGAAAGCGGTCGAGATGTGCTCGCGTACATTGTCCGGCGCTCGGTCGAGCGGGAGGGATTAAACCGACAATTGTCTCGAGAATTTCCAGGCAAGCGGTACCGCGATAGAGACAACGGCTATCATCGTGGCTGCGTTCCGCGCCGGGACCATTATCGGTCCAATGGATAACGTTTCGATTACCGTGACGCGAGCCCAGCTGCGGGCCATTGATTTTATCGCGCGTTCCCATTGGTAAATAATTTTTCTGGATCAATCGTACTACAGGGACATCGTCTCGCATGCGTTTTTTTTTATAGAATTATTCTCTACCAACTTTAACGTCGTTCTTAATCGCAATTACTGACTTTTATTGAGGCATTAATAATTTTCATGCTCAGTTATGTAGACTCAATTTTTTTATCTTTGAAATGTCAAACTATCGTTAATTTTATTATGAAATATATTTTAGATCGCGACAAATTTTCCAGCTATATTTTGCGACAGTTCTAAAATCAAGATGAAATTGTTTTCGCGCCATCGGACACACTTTACCTCTTGCATTTGCATTCCAGTCTCCGTTTTGTTTGTGTTGTTTGTTTTGTGCAGCGTCCACCGGTCAACAGCAAATAGCAGAGAAATCTATGCTGTAAAAAGCATCGAACGCGTTCCAACGACGCGCATATTTTCACGATAACGTCAAATTAATAGCCCGCAGCTGAAATGGTAGCACGAACGAGTCGTTGCACTCCCACGGTTTACGGCGAGTAAAGGATCCCGCTGCGGTTTGTTTTAGAACTCATGACGGATCACGCTGTCCATGAGTCCCAACTAAATTTTCGAATGGCTGGCAACCAGCCAGACGTTTTTATTACGGCCTACGCCAGACATAACGTTTCCTTCGCTAACTGAACTCGAAGGTATCGCTAGAACCCCGCGTTGCCAGTCGCTCCTTAAACACGCTCGTCTCGTGCTTTATGGAAACGACCCGCAGTTCTCGATGGGTCTCTCTCTCTCCCTCACCCGGGGATTCCCGTAAACGCATTTACTTTAAGCTTCACCTCTGCCTAGCCTGGTGTACAAGTCGAGGGATTTGTGGCTGGCTCGTGTGCCTCTAAATCAACCCTCGTCTACGTGTAAAGTTTTTATCGAGCCGCCATCTTCCTGTACGTTCTTGGGGCGGTGTTTCGCATTTAGGTAGATCAGACTTCCTGCGCTCGTTATAGGTATCCCTATCGTATCGTTTAATTATTTCAGCCTGCGCTTCCTCGGAGATAATGTTCCCCGGTCTTATCGCGAGTTGATCGTGTAACTCGAGCGGCGTATTATTCCCGGAATGTAGGTTGGTCTTCGGCAGGAATTTTATAAAATTCTCCCTATCTGATAAGATTAGATATAGAGATATTTGTTTCGAAATCGATCACGCGTTTCCTACCATCACACCCGGAATGACGATCGACTGTATTAGATTGAATTTGCGAGAGTGTCCAAGTGTTTCCAACGTTTCTCATTTGTTTTCGTTATATCCTCAGCCGTAGATCGGATAATAATGTAGTTTCGCGCGATCTTCACGACGGTTGAACCGACGGGTCACGGTTCCCGACGAACGAGAAACGAGAATGACTAGCAAGAAACATAGTCGCGTTTGGTGAAGACGTGCTCGACTGACGTGGTCCCGAGCTCCGCGAACGAAGGAACTGGTTAAAGGAGGAGGGTGGTGGTCCGCAAGGGCCACGGCCATGGGGGAGGCAGCATGTTCTCCGAGCTGTGCAGGGAGACTCTGCGGAAGGCAGCAGTGTGCTACAGTTCTGGTCGTGCAGGAAGTCCATCACCATCGCCACCAACGTCTCCGCCGCCATCTCCCGCCAAGGAAGCAAAGACTACTGCCAACATTGACCTGGCAAATGTCCGTGACGCCTGCCACGAGGCCAGAGAATCAGGGACCAGCGGCGGCAGGAGATCGCCGCAGTACCACTCAACGTCGTCAGGAACCTGCACCACGGAGTTCCGTGATTTCACCGGAAGGAAATCGCCGAACAGTTCAACCGAATTCAGGGAGTACGTTTAACGCCGTCGTCGAATTACGGCGGCTCTCCGCGCCGATCGATCTCGGTTTCATCTATGCCCTCTGAACATCGTCCGATCGGGCACTTTGTACTTTCATTTTCAACTTAAAGGGAAACGTCGTATCTATTCACGTTTACCCACGATTCTTTAACTTTCTCGTATTGGGATCTCGTGGAGAGTCGCCATGTCGTTTCGTTCGTTTTCACATAGCCCGAAGTTGGGGATTTCTCCTACCGGCGAAATAGTTCCGAGTATCGGAGATCCGTTAACGATCGAATCGGTCGTCTCGCGTGACGAAGAGGCGCGTAAACGTATTCCCGTCACGGAATCTTCAGGAAGCGTTCAACGGTGGCCGGCGACTTCGGGAAAAGATTTGGCTACCCCGAGGCGCGGGACGGGAAACGAGGTTCGCTTCCGGCGGACACGAGGGACAGGGACGGAGACAAAAGATCGGTGTCTCCCGAGAAGGTCGGAGGAGGACGGCAGCGACAGGAGTACGAAGACAACAGGGGATCAATCGGAGGATACGAGTACGGCCGATCAGATTCGAGACTCGGTAGACACTCCCCTGGGTCGCCAGGATCGTCGCCCGAACCAGAGGACAACTCCTCAACTTCTGGCGACGAAGGTATTGTTCGCGTCGTTCATCTTTTGCTATAACCTGCGACCGCGATAAATTATTGTTTCCTTCCAGTAGAAAATCACGATTTTCGTCATAGCAATATTAAGAACATTACTTTCTATTGAGTTTCAATTGGAAAAAATGTTGACTCGCGTGCACGTGGTATAAATTTGTTCAAACATCAAAGGATAAAAAGAACTTTGAAAATGTTGCCAGCATTCTAATGCAATCGGCGTGCGTATAAGAAATACATTTAGTAGTATAACCATAAAATTTGATGGTTATATCGATTGTAAAGAGATCGAAATTTTTCAAATGGTTCTAATGATCATTAAACGAACGATGTACGTAGGCCGGCTTCTGTTCTTACAAAATTCGAGTATTATAATTAATGAGACTATAAATAAGTTTGAACGCAAACGCTAGTAATTATGCAAGATAACTTGTTCGACGTATACGTCGCTGATACAGAGTAATTAGTGGAGGGAAATTAAATTTACGGGGAAACGGTGGTCATAATAGCTCCGTTGAGGTAAATTAACGACGGGGAGACACACGAAGCGAGAGTCTAAAGTTAACGCAGGCAAGGGTTGCGTCGCGTTTTATTCAAACCTCTTTTGACAAAGGCCGTTCGTAATGAATAATTATAACCAATATTAAATAAATTAATTTACACGAATTGCAAAACTTTGGGAGCTTGAAAGGGCGTTTCTCAATCTTTCTGGGAAACTTGCTTGCGAAAGAATAGCACGATTTACCGAGACAGTGAGCGAGCCGGAAGTTCGTTTTTTCCGAGATTTTCCTTGTCAGACTACCAACGACTTTCCTCCCTTTTATCGAGCTTTCTCTTCGACCCTTTTCACCCCTTGAGAATTTGTCCCGTTCCGGGAAACGGAGGCGAAGAATTCCGCTCGACAAAAGTAGCTGAAGTACTAGTCTCTCTCTCTCTCTCTCGTGCGCGCGCGCGCTCGAAGCTTCCCAAAGCTCTACGAGTGAATCCATTATCGAGTCTCTTTCAGAGTTGCTCGACGTTTGTGTCCTCCCGCTGTCTCCGCGATTATGTCCAGTAAATTAGCCGTAACTTTGTATCTGAGACAAGTTTCCGAGGTTTCATTCGGTTAAAGGTGGACGAAAGTTATGCGGCTCCTCGCTTAAATAGAACTTTCTACTTTCGTCTTCTGATTCCCTGCGTCGAGCTATTAACCCTGGAGACAAAACGGAAATGTAAAAGAGTCAGGCGTAAACTCTTGCGCTTTGTGATCCTTTTTTTTTATGACTTCGCTGCTGCTTTTTGCTCCCGCAAACTATTTTCGAACCTAATCGAAGCCGAAACGAATTCTCGCGATTGCTTTCGTGCGCCGACCAACTAATCAACTCCGAATCGTGTCTCCCTATCGGAAACGCTTCGCGCCCACTCCGTTTCACGAAACAAATCACTTTCGATGTGACGTTCTATTCGATCAGGTTTCGATGCAAGCGGAATTGGGGCCGAGTGTGCGGTTCGGCCTGACAGAGAAATTTTGCCACGCTTTTTTGACCCAATTTTTTCCTGCGACTTTTGCTAACCGGTTAACAGACGAAACGGGAACGTCGTTCGTCTTCTCGTTTGCGCCCGATGCGACTTCCTTCTTTGGACAGGGAACGATTCCTTGTTCCACCGACGGTTTCGCATTCGACCGCGGCGGCCCGAATATTTCCGAGAGATACGAGTATTTGCGAGCGTCCGCGTCGACAAACAATTTTTTATCCACGCCCAAACGTGTTCGGGCATCGATTTTGGCTCGTAATCGCGACGAGGATTATGCAGAAGTCGGACGATATAACTCCCCCGCGTGTCGAAGGAAATCAATAACATCGTGGATGACGACGCGCCAAGAGTATGGGTGAAATCGTTCTTATAATTGCTCGGAGCGAAACGGCACCGTAGTAATCGTCGATAGAATTTAGCAAAACTTCCACCTTTTGTTTCCGCGTAATGCTTTCAGACGATTTTCAGAGTGAGCCTTATCGCAGATTCCCCGGTTAATGTCTTTCCTCGTTTTCCCTTGTTATTTATTCGTCTCGATCGCGAGCTGAAAATAGGAGATACTCAATCTGGATTCTCGGCAAATCCATTATTCATGCTATCTGACACTCGAATTGCTGCTATCTATTATTCAAAGATCATATGCTTATTACCTGCGATAGAATATGATAGTAAAAAATATATCAGAACGGTCGTATGTACATAGTAAATGTGCTAGTAGAATAAATCCCAAAGAAAAATGAGTAGAATCTAATGCGATTATTAACCCATTCGCTGCCAAGGACGAGTATACTCGTCTTTGGCAGGGTGTCACGCATTGCCAGGACGAGTATACTCGTCCTGCTTTAAATATATTATAACATGCAGGCTCTTTTGAAGGCCCATTGCCAACGACGAGTATACTCGTCTTTGGTTTCCTGCTTCTAAATGATTATGTATGATAATATATGTGCTCTTACCAAGAAATAACTTGGCAGCGAATGGGTTAATTAATTAAACCGAGATTAGCTACCTCTCTTCAATCAGTTCCCAGACTAAGGAAACGTTGTCCTATTATTCGTGACTAAAACCTTTGAGCTTTTTCCTGTCTCCAACGCATATAATCTTCAAAGGATTACAACCGGATAAGCGCATGTTTGTTGGAATTAACGTGGACACAACTGCGACGAAGCCGTTTCGACAACCGATGACTTTCGCTTATCAACGCAATTGCTTCCAAAATAGTATCTACGCTTTCATGCCAGTCTCGCATTGTTACACATTATTCATGTAGCACGTAGAGAAAAGCAGAGAGGAAACGGGAGAACGGCTCGGTCTGCTAATGCGACCTCACAATGCGGTGCTTGCTTGCTACGATTCGCGTCGTTTAACATGGATCCACTTCTGTTGCATCGATCGGAGATTCATCGGGATCAGATGTGTCGAAACGCTAATGTTTTGCCTATCTGGCCTCGTACGAGCCAGCGTCGCGCTCGCATCCAGGCTCCGTCTTTGGGATGCAAATTCGCCTTACGCGCCCGTTAAATATTTATGAAATACCTGTTCACATTTCAGCGGTACGAAATTTTTTCTTCAGATATTCATACAATCTCGTAGTCACTTGAAGAGCTTAAACAAAAGCTTAGAACGTTTGATCTCGTGTGACGGAGTACCGAGTGTCTCTCAGAGTTGCCTAAAGCCGTTAATGAGAATCGAGCGGAATGTAAATTTTAATCAGTGAACAACGCTTCAAGATTAATGTTGATCGCAACCGCGATCGTGTCTCACCTTTTGTTCCTTCCGCAAACAATTCGAGCCATCTCGATACTCGATTTCCAGTTTATCGTTGTTGAAGTTTCACGGCAAAGGAGTTCGGGATCCGTGGGTACAACGTTGTAACGGAGATCAGAACTTCTATCGAAGTTCCCGCGACACGGAAAGGATTATGATCGATTGTCTGGTAACGACACTGGAGGCTTCCTCGGGAAAGGTTCTCCAGGAACCTGAAAGGAACCGTGTTTGTGCCTTCTCCTACGGTGTGTTTACGTAAGTTGGATTCGAAGCGGAAAATAATAGAAAGTAGAACGACAGAGGAAAACTCTTTTTTCTCCCATTTCTTATTTCGCGTAACGCGTTTTAATCTGAGTAGACACGTCGATATCCATCGCAGCGTCACTGATACTCGCTTTTTAATTGCATCCTGCACACGTAATTTTGTCATAATTGCCTTCATCGCACGCTATGACCAACGAACACGAGGCTTACAAGAATTTCTGCGTCGTACAATGACGCAGTTCGTAGAATATTGCATAGGAATACATTATTTCTTTTTTCCTTTATTCTCTCAACTTCAGATAAGAAATCAATTATACGATGTATAATAAATGTGAAATTGGTAATAAACGATTCAGAACAATTTTTAATATAGTCAGAAGTGTCATGAAACTCATGCAGAATCTTTAGCAAACTGTATTGGGGATACCAAGTCTCTTAAGGAGCATGAAAAAGGTATATACGCTCTTGGGGGTCATTCCGAGGATGGGAAAGCACTGAGTCGTTGGCAACGATAGGAATCGCTGACTTCGGTCTGGCTTCTTCGAGACGGCCAAGTCCTCTCTTCGCCGGTGAAGAGGGGAAGAAGTCTTTTCTTCTACTGCCGCGCGACACTCCAGCCGCGAAAGTGCCGAAGCTGCCTCGCGGCTTGCTAACTTGAAACACTCGAGACCCTCTCCACCGCTTTGCTTTCGTATACGCGATTTGTCTCCACTCCTCTCCTCTCTCATACGTTCGTGTAGTATACATATACCACTTCTGGCTGTTCCACGGCCGAGGACGATTTTCGGGTAAACCGTACTTCTTCGCAATAACCGTGACGAAAATACGTGTACCGTGCAGCTTACGATGGAGCCCGGCAGCGACTTATCTGTTCTCGCAATAAATTCTCGTGGTTTGGGAAATGATAGGTGGCTGGCGTATATCCTTGACTGGGATGGTAAAACGTGATATCCCATTTTTCCTGATGCTCCAGTTTCACAATTTCGAGATTTTTAATCAGCATATCGACAGATGTTTAAATCTCATCTGAACTCGCATGAGAAATATCACGTTTTTTTTATCTGATAATAGATTCGATCCATTAAAAACTTTTCTGTTTGACGAACTAATCACGAAATGGACTAACTGTTTTTCAAGAAACTACGTATACTTCGATTCTTTCTTTTTGCGTTCCTACGATAAATCTCTCTTTAGATATTGTTTCCTCTCTTGACCTTTTCTCAGGTGAGTATTTGACTCGGAATGAGGAAGTTCGTTTAATCCCAAGAAATAAGGTGCAACAAAAGGAAGGGGGAACCTAGGAATTAACGAACCGGAAACACGTCGCGAAATTCTTGTAATCACCATCGCAAACGAGAAGGTGTCTCAATTTTTCGTCGAGACCACTTGCGCCTCTTCGCCGTGTGCCAAATTAAAAAATTCTCATGCCGGAGCCACTCTGAAGGCT